TGTCTAATGTATTTTGCACCTCTCTGGTGTGTCTGAAGGAGTTCTGCAGATCCAGTACGTTCCAAACTATGGTTTCAACAACCCATATGGGGAAGGCAGGAATGTATTTCGATTTAACGTAATTGGTCTTATCTAGTTATCTTTAATGTGAGTAGCTCCAAACAGCACACATGGACTGGTTCTGCCATGCAGCTCCATGGCCATGACTACTACCTTTGGGGGGGGGGGGGGGGGGGGGGGGGGCTTTGGGGGGGGGGGGTGCAGGGCAGGGAGGCAGAATTCTCTGTTCAATTTACAGATTACTAATCTTGATGTTTCACCACCTAGAAAATTCATTAACATGGACCAAAACCCATCAACTCATTTTGTGTGTGTATAAAGATTTGTTTATCTTAGCACCAAGAAAAAAGCATGCCTCTACAAAACTCCACAAAACTAAAATTTCTGTAGATGTTCTTTCCTTTTTGGTTTTCCTTTAATTTGCAAATCTTGTAATCTAAGACTGAAGTTGACCGAACCAACATCTAAAACCAGCATAGTAGTATTGGCCAAAAAACACAATCTGTTTCCCATTTATGTGTCAAGACTGCATCCTTTTTGGGGGCTGCAAAAACTATTGTTTTGAAAAGATTATATAGTGAATCATAGAATGGTTTGGGTTGGAAGGGAACCTTTAAAGATCATCTAGTACAACCCCCTTGCTAGATATTTCAGTCATTTTACTAGATGGAAAATTTGACTCCTAAAACACAAAAATGTGCGTACCAAGAGCTACTCAGAAACTCAGATACAAAGCAAAAGTTTATAAAACACAAATTCTACCTTCCCTGGTAAAACACTCATTGTGGAGAATACAAGGATTGAGATTACTGGCAAATCTCTCTCTACAGAATTTTTACATAAAGCAAGTGCCAGAAATGAATTTCAAAGTGCAAAGTTTAAAATTTTACATACACTACAATAATTTTTTAAGCAGGTTCTCAACCATGACTGTCACAAATAATGTCAGATTTAAAATCAAGAAATATTAAACTTAACGTTAAGACTTTAATACTGATATTCAAAGGAATGTGATTTTTATCAGCATATATTATACCAATGACTGCTGTATTAGGTTACATTACAAGAGAGGCAACCCCCACACCAAGTTACCCAGAAGTTGACTTCTAAGTTAATATGTTGTTAAGTCTGTGGGAGACATACTAAAAACTAACAAGATACTTTTTGGCCTGTCAAAAATCTGTACTTCAGTAAAACATTTGGGGATTTCTGGTGTAAATTATTGTATTTCTAAATTACCAAAGAGATCTTTCACTGTGTAAATGACAATGAAAAAAATTTCAGGAATGAAATATAAATCTAAACATTTTTTTTAGGCAAGCATTATTTTGTATAAAGCACTTTTATACTCATCTTAGTTTCATAACGAAGGAAAGAAGTCCTAGCATAATATCAAAGACAAAATTATTCATTAATTTCTTTCCATTAAAGTACATGGTACATTAGAAGGATAGAGAAAAATACTGAAGTTAATTAATGTAAGTGATATTTTTGAAGTTATTAATTCATGACTACTTGAAAATTCTTTGGATTCCAGACTGACAAACATTCTACATTAAAAAGAATATATTTTTATCATATTTCCCTTATTATAATGTATTTACTTTACAGCTAAAGGAAAAGAAAATAATTTCCTGATGGTAACCACTAATGCAGACTAGTGGTCAGAACCAGGAAATCCCAGCCTCTAATCTGAATGTGTCAATATCTCATTGATAGAGTCCTAAAAGATAAAATACTATTAAATGACAGCACAGTGGATCTGGATCAAAACTATATTCTATCAAATTTGTTTTACTTTAATGGTTTAGCATATTTAACACTTAAAACTTGCTCATGTAATTTTCATACCTGCTGAATTCAAATTTCTCCAAGATTTTCATGCATTTGAATATAGGTACACGAGGCCATAAAAATCACAAAACGCATCAACACATTTGTAAGTACAGTCACTCATCTATCATGCAGAACTGTGTTTAACATGTGTTTTCTTATGGTCAAGAATAGCATGTGATAATTACAGCAACTCCTAAACTGTAATGAAGAGTTAATAACCTACTGAGGTTACATCATAAGTCAGGTGTAAAATGCATTTATTCCTCACCTTCCATCCAAAAAATTAACAACTTCAAAGCACTTTCTAGAAGAGCTACTGAAAATGGATTCTATATAAATCATTGCCACGGAAAAGAATTTAAATTAGAGTATTGCCTCCAGATACAGCAGAGTCCAAAAATATTCTTCAACAATAAGTCGTGGGGCAACCACCAAATCTTCCAAAATGCTAACCATGTCCTTTATTTACTAATAACAGATAACAACAAGAATTTATTTGGAAACGTCAAAATTACCAGGGATGTTCCCGAAAAAGTGTAACAATAGCTGTAAATTTGAACAGAGCAACCAGAAGTCAGAAATTTTGGAAAATTGCTAGGGAAAAATCCAAATCATGCTTTAGGTTGAAGAAGTCAAACTCCACCTCCCCCCCCCCATCATCCTCCTTAGTAATGATTCTGAGAAATTTTGGACAATAACATGGGTAACATTTGAACGGGAGAAAGCCAGAGGACTGTTGGAAGTAGCAGAAGCACTTTAGGAGGTCACATGTTTCTCCTCTAAAAAAGTGACAACCTTGTGTCCTAGTGAGGATGGGGATAAGGGCAGGGGGGCTGTGCTGGTGGAATTGTTTTCTTTTGAGACTACCTCTTGTAAAGGTAAGGACATTGGCGCTATTGTCATCATCATGTCCAATCATCCAGTTTATCTTAAAGAAAGACAATGTAATTTAACGTATCAGCATAATGGATTGTGTGTTAGAAGACTTGGATTTCACTTCTGGATCTGCTTTGGACTAGCTGTCTTTGAGAAAATCATTCAGTCTTTTAGACACTCTGTTTACCTTTCTGTTCAATGGGAAATACTTTAGTGTCAGTGCTAGATCACTTCACTGACTATTTCACCTGCCATTTCAGCAGACAGAATAGGCCTCCTACTCCCTGCACATTTTCAGCAGTGTGCTGACAGCTGCAGTATTTCATGCCATAGCCAGCAGATGACTGTAGTGAAAATACCAAGTGGTTCAGAGTAAATGCTCTAAAATGTAGTATTTTCTTCACACATATGATTAAACAAGGTGTTTTATCTGTCCACAACCGTTCAGATATATAGGAAACGATGTTAAGCACAAAACCTCAAGTTAAGAGTAGAACTAAAATTGTGATTCAGGTTCAGAGGCCATTCGTAACACAGCTATCTTAGTGTTCTACACAAATTCTCCTTTATGCATAACAATCATTATAGTAAGGTAATCAAATGATCTACGAATGTAACAGAAGAAAAACAAGTGCAACACTTGAGCCAATTTAAAAGGAGTGTGATTCCAGTTGAGCACAAAGTATCAAAGAACTCTTAACCTGAAAGCTACTGACAAAATAGGTGATTTGCAAGGACTCTTTCAAAAATAACGTGCAATGAACAGTAAATGTAGAAAAATGTTTCAGATTTTTCTGTTGAAGGTTTACCACCAGAAACAAATTGGTTCTTTATTAAGTGGGTAAACGAGAGCCTCTAGCAGTCTCCTTTTTTTAATGATGTGCTAGTCCTCTGGTCACAGTGGAAAGCCTGATTTAAAATCTTCTGTTTGCAGATACTTAACTACTGATAAGTAGTAACACAAACCTATTCATTCATTTTGAAAACATATGAGGGGTTTTTTTTTGTTTTATAGAAAGCAGAAACTACCAATAACCTTCGAATTATTTTCCATTAACTGAGGAATACGGTAACACAGTGAAAATAATGATCCTTATATTTTACTCATTTCTCAGATACTTCAGCTTCTAAAGCAAGGGTATGAAGGAAAGTTTTTTTGCCAACCAACATATTCTTTACATATACAAATACACTGCTTGGATTAAGACAGAAATTCCTACAAGAGCAGTATTTGCATCTCCAGTTACATGCACTCTTATTTAGGAAAAAGTTATTCACGAGATTACAGGGCGGGGAAAAAAAAGGAGAAAAGTCACCATCAACAGTTTTGCAAGTTGTAAACTCATCAACAGAAAGACATTTCACTTCTCCACCCCACCTGGTCTTTGTTTTTAACATTCAAGGCAGGTAACGTTAATATTGTAGTTTAACAGTAATAATACATACAGAGAAATTTACAGAGACTTGACAGTCCTTCCTCCACACCCACAGTGAGTAAATTCTTAATTGAAAAAGGTGTGGCACAGAATTAGTCTTACTACTATAAGAAGATTTACTTCAACTGTTTAGCCTTTGAATCTCTGTGTAGAGGATTACCCTTGAAAAACAAATATTTTCCTGTAGGTATAGATACAAATCCTTTGCACTGTCTGAATCAACGTACTAAACAGACATAAAACATCTTAGGGCCCTCTTTTATAGGAGGAGTCATATAACAATACTGTCCAGAGAGTACAAGACAAGAGTGTTAACTTATTTTTCTGATGCAAAGAAGTAGAGTTAACATGTAGTTTGCTAATAAACAGTGAGTGGCTGTAACAATGACATTTCTCAGTGCTTGTAATTCATCTGGTATATGACTGCTGCTTGAAAGCAATTTTTAATTACTTTTTAAGACAGAGATTGTTTTAGACACTTCTCAACAATAATTCTGACCAGGATTAGTATCAGAAAAGGTTAATCATAAAATTGTGATTACACTGAGACCAAAATAAACTTAAAATACCTCTTAATCTATTTTACTTCAAGAGTCTGTATTTTTTATTCCTCTTAAAAAGCTTAAGTCTTAGGCAAATGTGTGCTGACACACTGAAAAAACTTTAAAAGCACTTCACAGTGTTATTCCATGAGCAAAAAGGGAAGAGAGCTTTGAAGATGTAACCTACTGTGGTTTTTTAGATGGCATTACAATTTATACGTAAGACTTTATTCATGATAAATATGCTTACCCAGAAGATCCAATGCTTTTACATACACCAAGAAGAGGCCGCTTCTCAGAAAAATTATCACATTTTTGAGCACCTAGTAAGAGGCAAAACAAAAAAAGAAAAAGCAAATCACTATGTACTGTTTGTGTTACCTTTCAAAGCACAGGTGTGCATGCTGTGAGGGCCCAATATACTGAATATATAATACAAAACTCGCAGCCTGTGCAAGATCAGTGATAGAAATACAAGTAACAGGCAGAGTCATGAACACTGGAAGAACTGTTCTTGAAAGAGATGGCAATGAGTAACAAAACAAGTAGCAAAATTCAGCCAGATTTTGGCATTACTTTCCATTCATTTCAGTTGAGGTTAAGGATTCTGTAACTGTAACAAGTAACACTTGCTCACTTTTCATTGTTTTATAAGAGTTGTCTGTAATAAGGCTGTCACCAACTCTGCATGGGTTTCACGCATTGGTTTCCAATCTATTCTACTGAGGCATAAGTGGAGTATAAGAGTGTTAACCATAAGAGCGCAGCATAAGAGCAGCCACTCTCTTCAGCACGTGACAAGCTCGGCTGCCAGTGTTTGCACAAAGCACAGCCATACTTACAGCCCATGCCCTGTGCCTAAGAAAATACAAGATTAAATTCAAAACAGTCTTCAGTAAGTTCCGCCACCAAGCGATTTAAGCCGTTAAGAAAGCAACCTCCAGCAATTTCCAGCGAGACTGAGGCTATGCTGCTGTTCAGTCAAAGTGAAAACACAACTCTAACACCATATCCAATCTACTTTTAAGTAGATTCAGCTTCACCAGGTAACGCTGGTATAGCCCCCACAGCAGAGTTTGGCATGGGCTCGTCCTCTGTTTTAATTCAGCTGCTGAGACAGTTCTGCCTGCCCTGGGATCCATGCACGCCGCCACTGCTGGCACCAGAGCTAGGCAATTAAAACCAGCCTTTCGTCTTCCCAAACTGCAGTCACACCTTCACTCCAGAACCATCAAATTCTTAAATATGCCACACTTCTTACAACAGATTTTAAGTTTTTAAAACTTTGGCTTATTGCCAAGTAAACAGAAGTAAAACTAGAATTGAGTCAAAAATATCTCTTCTACATGTCAACATCGTTTTACTAAATTCCAGGGTATGATTCTATTATTTAAGTTGGGTAGAAAAACCACCACCACCAAATTTCCTCTGTTTTTTTCCAACCTTTGCCTTTTTAATTAGCTATCTATAGGTAGGCACGTGTGTGGTGAATAATGGAATTTTAGTTTTTCCTTCTCCATTATACACCATACCCTTTGATCTATAAAGAATATTAGTGATATAGTCTGTTCAAAATTTAATTCACAAATACTGGTGTACCGCACTAAATCAATTATTCAGAAAGGCACAACAATTAACAATACACACTTTCACATAACAGACTCTGTTAATTATTAATAACTGGGGTACATGCAATTAATTTGTAACAAAAACTGTTCAGTACTCTCATCTGTACAAGGGTAAGTCTTCCCTCCTACACATTTGGGTATTTACAAAGTCAAATGGGTCACATCAATAATTTTATCATCAACAATAGCTTTACAAGTAACCTAAAACAGCCAAATACATTTTCCTTTTATTCCTATTATTTCAAGGTCTTTTATGAGTCATACCTGTACTGTATGTACTGACCTGTAAATTGATAAATGAAACATATAGTCTTCTTAAGAATACGGCAACCAATTTGTTTTCTTCAGTACAAGTAACAGATGAACTCCATTTGTTTCCGTTCACTTAGCTAGTCTCTCAGCATTAAGGGTGAAACGTTGACTACCAGGAGTTCTGATGCTGATTTAAGTAGAGCCAGGATTTTACCTTAAGTATTTAACTATACTACTTTTTTTTTTTTTTTTTAACTAGGATATATTAAAGACATGAATTTATGTGTTTCTTTATGGCCTAGTTCTAAGTTTAACAACAAGGAAGGGGGAGCAACAGGAAGAAAGGTGGTGGGGAGTTCAGGGAAATAACTGCACAAAATCAAAAGGAATACCAGTTTTTAATGCCCACAATAAAGATTTGCAAAATTTGTACAATAGGTGCTTAAACTTCTGATTTCAGTCTGTAATGATTGAGGCCCTCATTTAAAAAAAAATAATTCCATTTTCTACTTCAAATACATACTTTCAGAATGTAAATACTAATACTGTAGAAAAAGATCATTATTTTGAGGACTCTGCAGGGCACTAAATCAGGTTAATAGCGGTCTCATTCATGAGATTGCAAAAAGCGACATGTGTTGCTCTCCGCAATGCTTAATGGAGTCAGCAACCATTTCTAGTTCTGCGGTGGGATTTAATCTTCCAAGTTATGGTGGATTAATTTTTATTCGTAAAATTGTGTTTATTTGCATGTGCGATATACTGACGTTGCACACACCTGCTCCACACACAGTGTTTAACAAAATGCAGCAGGATGATTGAAATGAAAAACAGCTAGCTAAATCCCTCAAATACAAAAAGTATTGAAATCCTGTTGCAAAGTCTTTTTCTTAAACTCCTTTTATTCTAAATCCTTTTAATTCTGTCATATAACACTACAGCATTTATAAAAAGCTGAAAATCCTGACAAATCACACAATTAAAGTAATGAAAACTGCCCTTCCTGCCAACAAGGCACCACCTTATCTACAGCTCCATTTAGCTAAATGATATATGTTTTTTTAAAAAATCCAACTTCAGTTAGTATACTCAAAACTGAAAAAAAAAATATTTGTGGCTAAATTAAATTTCATACAGATCAACATTTAGAACTTTATGAAGTCAAAAGGTTATCCACACACAAGCTCAAAGCAGCTTACGTACTGTACTTCTGATGAAACTGTGAATAGGAATCTCTGGGGCCTGCTAAGGCCTCTCAATAATGCCAATAATAACAGTAACAGCAGCAGCAGCGGCAACACACCTTTTTGAAGAATACAAATGAAACCCCAGTGATTTTCACAGGAACTCAAAAGCTACTCAAAACTATGAAAAGTATCCTCGTTTCCCTTGAATAAGAAGTGTACTGTATAAATGTCAAATTCTGACCTATTTAGCAATAGCATACATGCACAATGGAGTATATTTTTCTGGCATGTAATTTCACTCATCAAGTTCCAACACAGCCATTTCATAATGCAGTGCATCTCCTGTCCAACTAAACCCCTCTTATTCTATCTGTTATTCGAAAATTGTGTTGCATTTGTGGTCCTGCCCCACGTCAGTGTAGTAGCCAACCAGTATCTGGAAATGCATTAGGCCACACAGCTGGCATTCACTACGTATGGTTTTGACTCCCTGATTTGCTGCTGCTTTTCAGTGAAACGAAAAAAAATAACCTTTCTTAATGTTTCTTAATTAATACCATTTTGTGTCTGCTTTCTTATCAAACACAAATACAAAAAAATATATGTGCTACTTGAAACAGAAGTGAAGAGGCTTGAGTCAGTCCTAAGAATAGTGTGTGAATTCTCTCCTCAGCTTCAGGGTACCATCTATAACCACTCCATTTCCCACACAAATAAGCAGTAACTGCATTATTCAATATCATGCCTGACCAACGGTGCTGCGACTGCTGTCCTCATCCCAAAACTTCAGGTGCTGCTTTAGGATTAATGTTCTAGACTATGAGCATCATATTATTCTATCTCCCTTAACTGCCAGCATCATCCAGACATTTCAAGTTTCAAAGCCCTTCTCCAGTACCTGCATCATCATACCTGTTTCTTACATGCCCCAAAGGTTACTGCCTTAGAACCTCCTTCAACTCCAGTTCATTTTCACATCTACTGCCTCGTCAGCCCATTCCACCCTCCCATTTCTGAGATGAGAGCAATGTTGCAAGAAGCAACGGCGGCTGAAGAACATTATCTTGGCAGTTCTGCAAAAGATGCAGAGCTATGCACGTTTACAAAAAGTAATTTTTTCTTCTACACAGCACCATAGTTTTATTCTGATAACTATGTAGCTTCTATATGAAAAAAACAAAAAAACAAACAAAAAGATGACCTTGAAACATTCGCTAGAGATCAATGTTTCTAGAGTCCCGGATTAATTGAAGACACAAATATTTTATTTTGATTTAATCTTGTTAAAAAAAAAAATCAAAATTTCAAAGACGTATCAGTCTAAAGCATTGATGTGACGTGGCCAGAACTGAAATCGTGGCATACAGGTCCATCCATACAGCTCCAAAGAAACTAGTGTTTTAAAATGTCGTGCTCCAAAATTCTTCCCTATAATATCTATAAAAGGCTTGCTTGCTACGCTCGAGAATTCTGTTCTGTAATTTCTATAATCCATACACATTAACATTCATTATACCATAACAACCCACATAACAGTTACAGAACACCAAAACTTAAATGCACACCTGCACAGCCCACTTACACCAAACCAGATCTAGGTACCAACTGCTACTGCTTGTTCAGCTTGTAGGGCTAGTTCCTCTACCATACATACTATGCAATTATTTTGGCCTTCAGGGACTTAAAACCACTAAGCCACCCAAGTGGCTGAAAATATACAAAACTCACATCTGTCTTCCTTTAGAAAGCAACCTAAATATTATAGTTCTTTTAAGTATACCTGCACATAAAGCTAACTCAGCTTTTGAGGTTCAAATTTTATTTTACCAACATCAGAGATGTAAGTAGAGTACAGAGAGAGATCTGCTGCAAAATTTAAACTTTCAAGAGTTTTAGATTTTCAAATACAAAACTACTCTGTGTCCCAACTAATTGTAGCTTTTCACGTTAACTCTAGTTTTCAACCCTACATCCATCAGGTTCCTTTGGTTCATAGTTGTTTTAAACATAGTACCTCTGATTCATTTCTTTTATTTCCTTATTTGCTTTTTTCCTTTATCAGTCAATTTGACTGAGCAGTCAAATTCACTGAGAGATGTAGGAGTATTATATCATCTTTTCTGCAAGCAGCATAATCTAGAAAATGGCAATAAATTAATTCAGTTCACTGGAGGAATTTATTTTCATAATGCTGAGGCATGGAAATAGGTTTTACAGACGACGACCAATGTAAACTTCAACACACAAGCCTGTCCATCATGTACCCTTTAGCCATGAATTACCACACACAATGCTACTCCTGCAGCTTTTCCTAGTTTCTTGATCGACTTTTAAACTATGCACGCCTACCTTAATAAATGGGATAACACAAGGCAGAAAGCAGGTATTTGGCCAGGGTTTTGTAAAATGACCTGGGATAAGTAATGGAAAATGGGAGACTGTAGCACTAACTCACTTCAGAAAGCAGCAATATTCTGAT